GTGAGACAGAGGTGGGCAGAAAACTAACATAGATGGGCAAGAAACGAACATGTAAAAATAGTAACTTTAGATTCATAGTGCAAGTAATAATGATGTACCTCATGAGAAATTCCCTGTTCCACGAAATCCTCCAGTGGGTTCATGGCTTTGAGAGAAAGAAAAAAAAAAGGACAAGAGAAGAAGGAAACAGGCTCAAGTCTTTAATGGAACTATGGAAAGAGAAGCAGTGAAGGAGAATATAAAGAGAAGAAAGTCAGAGAATGGAGGAAGTAAGCAGTGAGTAGTGAAGAGGCAAATGCTGTGTGTCCAAAGAAGTTGCAAAATGCATTTAATGCTTTAGCTAACCTCAATAAACATTGATATATTTAAAAGAAGGAAAGAAAATAAGATTACTCAATACACAATTATTTTCAATTTTCAGTATATCCAAGGCTTGAAAACTGTATAAAAAAAATTATATAAACCATAGAAATCTAAAACGTATCTGTACAAGGGAAATATTTACATTACTCACATATTCTCCGCAACTGCTCCATTGCAGATTTCACTGTATATTTTATTGCTACATCTAAATTTATCATCATCTTATCAACACTAATGGAGTTGTAGGATTGAACAAATTCACGAAAATGGTATTCATGGAAGCATCAATTAGTATGCTTTTATCACATTATTTTCTCTGATAATCTTGAGCAGTAAGCTACCAAGCAACCTAATCTGTTCCTAAATTTTCCAAGTTTTCAAGCATATTCCACGTGAAACTAGTATAGACATGTAAGTGGATACAGAATAATTCATGCTCTATTGAATTGGTTCAACAGAGAAACATAGAGATAACCATATTTTGGTCTGTCATTATCAACATGTTTGTCTATAACATTATCTTGATTAGGCAATAGTAATTCTTTAATTCAAATCCTGTATTCTTCTACTGCCAATCAAGTAGTTAAAGAGAAAGAAAAGAATGACAAATTGTAGAATAGTAGATGCCAAAAAGGAAATGTAGGTAACAGAAATTGACATCCACATGGAAATATACATTTAATTAATTGGATGTTTGAAATCTGAAACAAAGTACTTGCAGCCTCAACACATCAACCAATTGCATTAAAAAACGCATTATTCCCTTTAACTCTTTGCATAAAAACAAAGTGTTCCTCTTATTATATTTCTTTAATTTAATTTCTTCTTCTTGGGTACTTTGAGAAATTACAGTTGTTGATGCAAAAAGAAAAGAAAAAATCAAACTCGGGGTATGCACCATATCCATTACCATTTATATGCTATATTTAATATATTTTTTTATTCTTTAAATTATTCAAATAATTTTATTAGTAGAAAATGATTGCTTGAGAAAT